TTCTTTTAATTATTCAGTAATTGAAGTAAATAGCTTTTAATTATTCATTAATTGAAGTAATTTTCTTTTAATTATTCTTTAATAGAGTAATTTTCTTTTCATCGATCGTAGCATTCAGAATAGCACGATAACGATTTTTTCTTGCTGATTTATGAACAAATTAACGAATATATTTGAATATATGTGGGAGCTACTCAAGTTTTTGCGTTTAAATAAAAATCATGGCTTCGTACCAGTTGTCTAATTAGCTTTAAACGACGTATATACAGTGTCAGTGAGGAAAGCATGGAGATCACCAGCCAAACTAATTACGGTTTAATTTATTGCTGTAAGAAATCATCATTGGGTTAGGATCTTTACCCACGAGACATCAGGTCGTCACTTTTAATCTCTTTCTGAAAATGGGAGTAATTATTTGCTTTAATGAAACACGAAGCCGTTCGAAATGGCGTGCGAGCACAATGGCTTCGGGTACTTGTAAAGCCGCCCTCCTCTGCTCAAGCGGACGATTAGGTAGTGCATTATCCTATAATTTGGCAGCGGCGCTTACGCTGCCTACAACATGACACACTACAGCGCTTTGTCGAGTGTTGCTCGCTTTGTCGAGTGTTGCGCTCGTTTTGTGGAGTGTTGCTCGTTTTGTGGAGTGTTGCGCTCGCTTTGTCAAGTGTTGCTCGCTTTGTTGAGTGTTGCTCGCTTTGTCCAGTGTTGCTCGCTTTGTGGAGTGTTGCACGCTTTGTTGAGTGTTGCGCTCGCTTTGTCGAGTGTTGCTCGCTTTGTCGAGTGTAGCTCGCTTTGTCGAGTGTTGCGCTCGCTTTGTCGAGTGTTGCTCGCTTTGTTGAGTGTTGCTCGCTTTGTCGAGTGTTGCGCTCGCTTTGTCGAGTGTTACTCGCTTTGTTAGTGTTGCGCTCGCTTTGTCAAGTGTGGTGCTCGCTTTGTGGAGTGTTGCGCTCGCTTTGTCGAGTGTTGCGCTCGCTTGGTCGAGTGTTACATTCGCTTTGTGGAGTGTTGCGCTCGCTTTGTTGAGTGTTGCGCTCGCTTTGTGGAGTGTTGCGCTCGCTTTGTGGAGTGCTGCACTCGCTTTGTGGAGTGTTGCACTCGCTTTGTGGAGTGTTGCTCGCTTTGTGGAGTGTTGCTCGCTTTGTCGAGTGTTGCATTCGCTTTGTGGAGTGTTGCTCTCGCTTTGTCGAGTGTTGCACTCGCTTTGTGGAGTGTTGCTCGCTTGGTCGAGTGTTACATTCGCTTTGTGGAGTGTTGCGCTCGCTTTGTCAAGTGTGGCGCTCGATTTGTGGAGTGTTGCGCTCGCTTTGTCGAGTGTTGCACTCGCTTTGTGGAGTGTTGCACTCGCTTTGTGGAGTGTTGCTCGCTTTGTGGAGTGTTGCTCGCTTTGTGGAGTGTTGCACTCGCTTTGTGGAGTGTTACATTCGCTTTGTGGAGTGTTGCTCTCGCTTTGTCGAGTGTTGCACTCACTTTGTGGAGTGTTGCTCGCTTTGTGTAGTGTTGCGCTCGCTTTGTCGAGTGTTGCACTCGCTTTGTGGAGTGTTGCACTCGCTTTGTGGAGTGTTGCGCTCGCTTTGTCAAGTGTTGCTCTCGCTTTGTGGAGTGTTGCACTCGCTTTGTCGAGGCTCGCTTTGCGGAGTGGTGCGCTCGCTTTGTCGAGTGTTGCTCGCTTTGTGGAGTGGTGCGCTCGCTCTGTCGAGTGTTGCGTTCGCTTTGTCGAGTGTTGCGTTCGCTTTGTTGAGTGATGCGTTCGCTTTGTCAAGTGTTGCGCTCGCTTGGTCGAGTGTTGCGCTGGCTTTAATGAGGGTTACATTCGCTCTATAGAGTTTTACGCTTGTTTTTTTTCAAGTGTTGCGCTCGCTTTGTCGTGAGTTGCGCCCGCTTTGTCGAGTGTTGCGCTCGTTTTTCCGAGTGTTGCGATTGCTTTGTCGAGTGTTATGATTGCTTTGTCAAGTGTTTCGCTCGCTTTGTCAAGTGTTGAGTTCGCTTTGTCGAGTGCTGCGCTCGCTTTGTCAAGAATTGCGCCCGATTTATCGAGTGTTGCGCTTGTTTTTTTTCGAGTGTTGCGCTCGCTTATTCGAGCAATGATCTTGCTGTACCGAGTATCGATTGTGAAGTTCGCTTTGCCCAGTTGGCGCTCGGTTTGTAGATTGTTGCGCTCGGTTTTAAGTATTGCTCTCGCATAGTCGGTATTGCGCTCATTTTGCTGCGTTTTACGCAGGCTTTCTTGAGTGTTTAATGTTGGCTTGACGAGAACTGCGCTCGCTATGTTGGGCAAAGCTCTCGGATTGTTCAATTTTAATTTCGGTTTTTCTAGCGTTACGCTCAGTTAGTTGAAAGTTTCGTTCGTTCCGTTGAGTATTGCGTTCGATTTTTCTATTTTTATTCATTCTTTGTCAATTGTTCCTCTCGGTTTGTTTTACGTTTGCATCCGACCATAGAGGGCAACTGGAGGTCATGCAAATCTGTAAGCCACGTTATGTTATATTCCTTCACTTGATTTTTCAGAATATTCAAAAGGATTGCAATGTTTCGATTTGTGTGTTTAGCTAACGAAGCAAGAATGGAAGAGTCGGAAAAGCTGCGTAGCTTTTGATAGAATGAAGCAATCAAGGAGAAAGGCAGAATACGTGATAAAATTGATCATTGCAAAAGAATATTCGGAATACGGCTGATTGATAGTTTCTTAAAGGATTCCACTACGCATCGTAAGCATGGAGACCTTAATAATTAATCTGTCCATGTCATGGATTATTATTATTTTGAAATATAAAGTGACAGCGGCGCTTTTAGAACCTTCTGAATACAAGCTTTCATTTTCTGGAAGAAACTCACATGGATGTCTACGGAAGCCTTCTCCATTTAATACCGTCAAATAAATACAAATTTGAGAAAACTAATTTTCAGTAGACCGGTTCTGTTGCTGATTGAAATTATCATGGAAGGCATATATATTATGTTGCATTATGAAAAGCATTGTTCTGCATTGAAATTTGACGAGCTGAACGCAGGACTGAGCGGATGAGCGGAACGCAGCTGAACGTCTTGCGTGCCGTCAAACTGACATGGGATCCGAATAAAAGAATGAAAAAACTCACAAATTAACATAATCAATAAATTCTATATTAATTAGTCGAAATTAATGTGGTGACTTGATGTGGAGATGGACTTAATAAATATTCGTATAGTTATTTCGTTACATCTTTTTTTTAACTTTTGCACTTCATCAATAAGATACCCGAACTAATTTTGCTTCGATCGTAATTTTTCACTAGACTGAAATAAGCTCTCAGACGAGCGATTCAATCTGCTGAATTTTCAGCTTTTATAACATAAAAGTTAAACATTAGACATTATAAATGAAACATTATTACAATATTGCATAATGTTATTTTCATAAGAGTAAATAAACAATTCGGGGTATAATATAGACGCGTCAGGGCAGTCGGTAATCGAAAACCATTTTGACCCAGAAGCGACGAGCTTCAACCTGCCATTGGTTCAGCGGTCATCAAATTGATTTAGTCGCTGATGAAATCTGATTTCAGGAAGAAATCTCAATAGTGAATCTTCGAAGATTTATTTCATTAAATTATTTCTTGGCAAAATAAATAAAAATGTTTGGACGAGATTATTTGCGTTATTATCTGTGTCGGGTTTACGGGAGCAACCGTTGCTGGCGCTGCGTGGGTGTTGTGGGGACCGAGATGTACAGAGGAGGGTGGGGGGAAAAATAAGTAAAGCTGGACGAATTTTTTGTTAAGCTTTTCCAACATTTCCTAATATTCAAATGAGGAATGCATATTTTCCAGTTGATGATAATAATACGAAACAAATTTTCATGTGTTAGTTCCTTATGTCTGGAGGGTTTGAAGATGGAAGACTGCTTAGGATCTTCATTTTCTAAATGAAAGTTCGTGGAAAAAAATATTAATTAAATATTATTGTTCAAAATATTATTATTAAAATATTAGGAAGTCAGCTTGGCGTACAGCAAGCATCTCATTCAACTTCAGCATCCCGTTTACCAAAACATTGCTCATAAAATTTAGACTAAATTATGCAAGAAATTCAATTTCATTTGAGATTGATTTTGATTCATTCGTTATTATCTTTGCAAAGTTATTTATACACCCAAATGTGAAAGAGCTCCATGATGTTATATTAGGGTCTTTTTTATATGTGTAGAAACTTCCCACACAGCTTTATATCCATTTCTTTTTAAAAGATGATCCACTCTCTATGACTTTAATTTGAATTTTTGATTTAAATTTTAATGAGAACGTCAAATAGATATCCTGGCAAAAACTCATGTTAGCATTGAGGCATGAAATGACCTGACCGATCTTTAGATTGGTTAGACGTAGACCTTTTAGATTTTCAGAGATATTTTTAGGTCGTATTTTAATTTGAGATACGATAATTCGATTCTTTTATCTCGCGTGCAAATTTTTTGTATCAATGCACGTACTGAATCCTCCATGACTAAAAGCCTCATTAGAGAATAAACTTTTTTTAGATTCTTTGTTATGTTTCTAATTAGGGTGAGAAAATATTGCCCGAAATTTACTCTTATATTCGTATAAATACCAAAATATATAGCTCTTCAATTTAAAATTCATCGTTTTTAAATCGATCTCACGTTCATAAGTTGTGATTTCTGATGCAAGTGATTTCATTAAGCCTAATGTACTCATGCAGAATCCGATCATCGAAGCAAACTATAAGATACACATTAAACTAATATGAAAATCTAGGAACAATAATACTGTATACAATGGCAGATGAAGTCAGTAATCACAAACTTTTTCATAAATTCAAAACTGCAAAAGTCTGCAACTTGAGTTCATGGAATAATGAAGGAAATAAATGAAAATTTTAATTTTCTTCTGAGCTCTTGGCTAATCAAATTCGACAGACCAAGTGTAACAGTGCGCAGACAAACATTTAATTGAGGACTAATGTTGGTTAATTCTTATTATTGAGAAAAAATCACTGACCTTCCTTTTACTCCTGGCGATTCTGTCGTGCCTGGCGGGAGTCTCTCCCAGCGACTTCTTGCCCCAAACTACAATGCCGATCCTTGTGTAGGTGAAGATAAGCACCGCGACCGGCAACACGTACTGCAGCAACATCAACGTGGCCGAATACGACGCCTGTCTTTGCTCAGAACCTTCCCCCCAGTCCTCCATGCAGACCTTCAGCTCGTAGATCTTGTAGTAGTTATCGTCAGGTTCTTTGAGCTGTGAGAAGACTGCGAGAGGGGCGGTGGTGACGATAGCGAGGACCCACACCAGCCAGATGATGACGCGGGCCTGGAGCCTCGTCATGCGCGGACGGAGCGGGTAGATGATGGCAAGGTAGCGGTCTATGCTGATCGCCACCAGCGAGTACGCTGACACGAACACCGTCACGCCCTGCGATGCAATGGGCGTCTTTAATTGGTCAAAATTAATATCAAGAAACAGTTTTAACCCACCACAACCCACCACGGGAAAAATTACAAAAATTAATATCAAGTAACAGTAATAACACACAACAACCCATCACGGGAAAAATTACAAAAATTAATATCAAGTAACAGTCTGTTACAAATTAATGACGTCTTTAGATTTGATTCAATTCGCAGAAGCCCCTTTGCTGTCATAGCGTACAGAAAATTCGAGGGCTTTTCTACGAACATAATTCCAGAACGTTGAAAAACCGAGTATTCTCATGCTTGATTACCTTGGTTATTGATTGATATTGCTTGATTATTACCTTCATTACTCTTCTTCGCGCGCCTATGCAGATAAGTTAAGTAAGTGGTCGACTTTTCACTGAATTTAAATTCATTTCTTTTTTTTAAATGATGTACGGTAATTTGTTGAGATGCAAATTTTTAATTAAATTTCGACAGACAATGCTTTGACATGATTAAAGCAACAGACCATGGTTGTCTGATGGCGGCAGGAGGAAAAAAAGCCAAAACAACCGTGATTTAATTTTTATTATTACATTTAAAATTTCCGCTGTCAAAATTTAATTTCAATGGTTTTCTAGACTTCAAAAATTACACTGAGTTTACACTCTCAGGCCCAACGGTCATCGTTGCGGTTGTCCTGTGGCTTTAAGTCCACCCAGCGTGGACACCCGGAAAAGAAGAAGAAGAACTGAGTTGAGTTTACAGCTTTTATGTATTTATCTAATTTAGCCAAATATAAATAGAAAGCCAATTCAGCCAAACTTGCTGAAGACTACATTATAATGAGCACTTACCTCATTTACAAATGTCAAAATTTATGTATGTCAATCAACTCCCGCTCACCAGATTAGACCAACAAGTTACGTCAATACCAACCTGATAAAAGCTACATAAATAATAGCCAAACATGTCTAATCATATGTAACTTTCCGGCCCCATCAATCCCTAAAAATATTTACCCGATCTCCTCCGCCTCTGTTCTTCAAATCGCCTCCGGACTCCAGATAATAAAATATATCAGCAAATTAACGGTGTAGCCAGGGAAAGTCCTCTTGGCCCAACATTCGCCGAATTCTACATGTGCTAACCCTAAAAGCGATGGTCGTTAGATGCACGGATTACACCCGACCCTTACTGTCGATATGTCGACGACATCTTCTTCGTTCGAGACCAAGATCACATGACGGATCACATGATAGAGCGGCTTTAAAACTCAATTCAGTTTTGACGTTCACTTTTGTGTTCGGACATAATCAAATGTTGCCTTCTTTCTGGACACACTGGTGCAATATGATAATAATTCGTTCAACACTAAAGTTTATCGTAAGCCTTCAGACGTCGTAAAGTTCTTGAAGGAAGACAGCGAATGTCCCCAGCGCTACAAAGTCAGCACCATATGCGCCCTCGTACACCTAGCGTTCAAAACATGTGCATCAGCTCGTGACTAGAAAACTGAACTCCGGACCTGCAAGCAAACTCTTGTAAGCAACAGTTATGCAAACAAAACTATCAACACAGTAACTTCAAATTTTCGAGCACGTCAAACCCGAACAGATGATTCCACATAAAAAGACGGCGTCACAAGAATTTACTACCAAAACCAGATGAACAGCGGTTATAGGACAGATGAAAGAGTTGTCAATTCAATTGTGCAAAATAACATTCGACGTTGGAGGCCTGCACCAGCATCATCATGCAGTGCCCCGATACTACAAGACTGGCAATAGCAGAGGCTCTCATCATCAAGCATGAGTCTTTAGCTATCAATTTGCAAACCACCGGATTTGTCAGGACGTTGAAGTTTTTCTCGGAGTAATTTAAATTTTTATTTCGAATAGTACCTACGATACCTTTTGTATGCACTTATGTAGTTTTCAAATTGCAAATTTCAAGTGATTTAAAATTCTTCACCTACTTGAGAATGAATATTGAATATTCGTAAAGGCGTATTCCAGTAAAATGTCCTTTGGTGACCTGATTTCAATCCCCAAGCACCAGCAAGAAATTTTATTCAGCTTATTGAAAAAAAAGAAAGCAAGAAGAAAATTGTTAATAAAAAGCATGCTCTGGTCTTCGCACAAACCTGCATAAATGAAGAACTTCTGCCTAACTACACTAATATCCGAATGATTGAATGTGCTTGAAACATTAAAATGCAAGCAGGTAAATTTCCCTGGATGTGACTAATTTCTCCTGCAATAACAAGCCATGGCTGAAAGATTTCCAAGACTGTTTTTTACATTAGCCTGCGCGTTTGATTTAATTCGCTGTCGCTCTGTGATGTCATAGCAAAGAAAGAACAACTTAATTCCCCATTGTCCAATAATGTGTTTGGAAGACCAGCTGCATCGCCAAATATAAGATCCAAGATGATGAATATAATCCATTCACATAACTGTTTCTTGCTTGATAAATATTAAACCCTAAATTTTTTATTATTTGTCACTGGCTTAAATTTCCCCGAATAATTGAAATTAAACAAGGACAGAAAAAGCGAACAACAATTTTGAGAATTTGCGCCGAGTTTTTGTTATCAGGAAGGGATTAGTAAATAAGCGGTGAGGGAGCTAAAATCTTAACTCTCGCTCCATTATTATTTCCCACGAATAATTAAAAATTCGGATTCGGTGACACAATAAATGAGGGTATGATGGCATCGAGATTGCTATAATTTTAATTCATGCATTTACCTTCATGGCCATCCGTTGCGTTCCTTGTTACGAGTAAATATTTTTTTATTTCGTGAAGTGAGTACTTGCAAATTTTTAGCGCATTTTCTCATTTATGAAAAAAAAAACGCTATTGTGTTCGTCATGTCCGTCCGTCCGTCCGTCCGTGACGGACGACGGACAGACGGACGTGAGAAAATGCGCTCTCTGTCACACACTGCAGTGAGTACTGATCTAATTTTTTATTATTACAACACTTCTCTTTAACTTCACTTCTTGTTTGTCTGTCTGTCTGTCTGCTACAAATTTTATAATCGATATTTAACACACTTCTACCTGTCCAATCGATTTGAAATTTTGCACACTTGTGTAAAGTTGGAGACAATGCATGAATCAATTGACAGAATAAATAATTTTATAAATTAAAAAAAAAATTCAATATTAAAAAATTAAAAAAATAATTTCGTCTCCTACAAATCTTATAATCCATATATGACACAATTTGATCTGTCCAATTGATCTGAAATTTTGCACAATTGCATAAAGTCAGAGACAATGCATGAATCAATTGACAGAATAAATAATTTTAAAATTTACAAAATTTTGATATCTTAAAAAAATTCGAAGAATAATTTTTTTTTTCAATATTTGAAAATGAAATTAGAAATTCGTTGCACATGTGTAGCATCCAAGATACTGGATTGTTCAGAAGTGTTGTTTTTAAAAAGCAATTTTTAAACGCATATTATTAATTGTTTAGTTGGATTTATATTCATGGGACTGAACGAACATGTAATAAATCCCATACTTTATTCAGTTGAGTTCTTGAGGATTTATGGTATTCTATTGCACGATTAACAACGCTTTCAGTTCATGTGCACTTGAAATATTCAATCTTTTGGTTTTTTGTTCCTTAGGCGGTTTTTTCAGTTTTTTCAAAGTGAAATTAGAGCTGTTCTCAGAAAAATTTCCAATAAGGATAAAATTATTTTAATTTGCGTTTTCTTTCATTTAAATTTTTAGTGAATCTTTATTTGAATCATTTCCAAATGATGCAATAGGGATCAGAAGACCATAACCATATTTTACCGTGACTCAGCGGAAGAAAATGTAACCCTGAGGGATGTGCCAAGCGTCTCATAAAGACCGGTGAGCGTTGATGCTCCTGCATGGCAAAGATTGGGCAGATTTAGGAGGACTTCGTCGCAAAATGTGCCATTAAATTTTTTTTGGTCTCGTTGACTGCATTTCACTGGCTTTCACAAAGGTTGGTACTCAATTGAAGGAGCCAGACTCCATATTCCTAAATTTCTTGCACTTTTATTTCAACGATTCCATCCCAACAGACACGGCAGAACAGTCGCTAATGCATGAAAACATTAATTGATTTGTTCATGGTGTTCAAAATTTTTAGGTATGCCATTTTCTCGAAATGCCTTTGTTCCTAGTTTGCACACGTGTAGCAATAAAGAATTCCTTCCAAAAGTATCTCACTCTTTGTAGTCCAGAATTAACGGATAAATTTACAGTTATACAGTAAAACTTGAATGAGAAAAAGTTCAGTGATGCGGAATGTGTCGGCAGTGATGAAATGCGTTCAAATTTGAAATATTTTTCATAGTTTACTTAGTTGACATCGAGATTTGTTCAAAAGTAAATTTAAACGCCGGTAGACATATAATGTGGCAAACTAGCATCATTAAAAAGATGTTTTGTACTAGAGTAGGCAAAGTAAACCGTGAAAATGTTTATAATATAGAAATTTTTCCAAGTGAATTCTGCTGAGACCCCCAAATTTAAGATGATTATGTCTCCACTATAAAGTATCGTTTATGTTGTTTAGAGTAGCACATTTCCGCAAGCTACGGCATACGCTTAGTCGACATCTGTTTTCGGACCAGCAATGAAAAATACAATCTTTCGTTCATTAAAGGACAATAAAAGAAAAAAATGATTGCATTCGTCAATGATGAACCCAAAAGAAAACTATTTTCTGCTTTCCTAAGTCACTTCCCGGAAGTATCTATGAAGATTCCTTCACTCCATAAAGGCAATAGACACAACTGCCAGCATTCACTATCCTGCAGTTATAGGAATAACCTATATTTGAGTCTCGCAGGCAGTTATATCAATAAAATATCCTGGCAATCATTAATGCTCTACATGTCCTGCTACATGTAATATTTACTATGAGCTGCCGTCAGACATCAACACGCAATCGCTGTTTTATACGCTCTCTGACGATACAGTGCATGAATGAGTGAATATGAATTTCACAGTGAAT